GCGCTCCGGGCTGCTGAGAGCTCGAGCCGAGGAGCGGGAGCGTGGTACCTGCTGCTGCCGCCAGACGCAGAGCATCGGACGCGCACGCGGTGGCCTGGGGCAGGAAGGAGAAGTCATGACGTCCATCAGGTAACGAGCGTTTGGAGGTTAAAGGGCGCTCCGGTTGGGCGTTAGCCTGGCATCTGCAGAACTGTCGCCCCTTCACTTGGGTGGTCTGAAACCTCCGTTGGCCGCCGGTCCCCTCTTGTTGGAGGTCCGCATTGCACTTTTTCATCATGGCATTTCTGCGTTCCTCAGAAGTTTTGGGGTCTGTGGCACATGGCGCTGTGCCCTGTGAGCCACCACTGGGTTGAAGTGACCCTCGCCCAGATTCTGGGGGTTGAAGGTTGCCTGTGTATGTAGTAGATTTCTCATGAAAAATGCAGCTCCCTCCCGTTCCCTCTTCCTGGCGCGCCCGAGGTGACCCCGGGCCAGAGGAACGTGACATGCAAAATTTGTGTCCGTGCCCGGGAGTCATGCCTTCTGATAGAACTTCATGGTTGCCCATGAGCAGCTCTGCAAAGTTGCCCTCTCTCTGTTGTAGATTGATGCCCTCCAAGTTACGAAACTGCCCCTAAAATATTTTCTTATGGCTGAATTATTGTGGTTCTCAAAGGTGCCATCTGTTTACCTACTTTTATTTCAGAGTCTCAAGGGAAGTGCATTTTGTGAGATGTTAGGCATGTAACGAAAGCAGTAAAACGTTCAGCAATCTTGCTTCCAATTTGGAAGGTTCTTTTTAGCGAATGGCAGTAAGATTGGGCTTGACCACTTTCTGAGTGTACCTTCCAGTGAATGTTTAACTTTGGCAAATTCAACTGTTAATAAAAAAAGAGATAAATGGCTTTATTTACTCAGTTTTTTGACCCATTTCTTTTAAATCAGACTTTGGCCTTCATTGTTCTGCAGAAAGGGAGGCCCCAGCACAGATACGAAGAGAAATAAGGTAATTTTGAAGCGGTGTGTTTCCAGGGGCCTCAATCCTAGTGATTTAACGGCTTCTCAGTGGGAATTTTGATTACACAATGTTTAGGAGAGTTGTAGAGTCTAATCTTTAGGTAACATAAAGTAAGATGCAGTGGTGCTCAACTTGGACACAGCCTTGTCTCTTAAATTGCATAATTCTGTACTAACAGAAAGAGAGTACTTGTCTCATTATGCAGGACAAACTCGGGCTGAAATGTGAATGACCACGTGGGAAGGTTTCACAGTAAAGTACATTGTAGCATATAAGTCCAGCTTTTAAAACTAACGGTACAGTGTGGCAGCATGTAGGATAATGCTGTTACACAGACTTAATTCCCTTCCTCACTCGGACTTCTTTTCTCATCTTCACAGACTGCTGCTCATTCGGTTTTGCTGGTCCAGTGCTTTCTGTCTTATAAGTCAGGTTTTTGTTTTTGTTTTTGTTATTGTCCTTGTCCTTCAGCCCCCAGGGATTGAACCCAGAGCACTTTGTTGCTGAGTTAGTTACATCTGCAGCCTTTTGCAGCTTTTAAATTTTGGGATGGGTTGCCCTAAATTGCCCAAGCTGGGCTCGGCCTTATGATCCTTTTGTTTTAGTCTCTCAAATAGCTGTGATTACTAGAGTGTGCCTTTGTGTCCCCCTCAGTTTTCTTTTGTTGTTGTTGTTTGCACTGATTTAACCTAGAGTCTTATGTATGTTGACTATCATCTTCTTGGAGAAAAATCCAACTCTAAAGTTACTGCTGTGTAGCAAGGGACAGCAAGATGTATCTTTATTTATGTACCAGGGATTGAACTTGGGTCCTTGCTCTTGCGAGGCAGGCCACCGAACCGCTGAGCTAAATCCCTGGCACAAGATGTATCTTTAAATGTAGAGGCTGATTGGTGGTTATTTTCAGAAATTGATTTAAAAATTGTTACTGCCTTAGGTGGGTGTATTTTGAAAAGATATATAACTTGACATTCAGTAAGTGTGCTTCCTCAGGTGTTAGCTTGTGTTTACCAGGTCTTCAGCTCTAGGGATATGGCTCAAAACAAGCTCCTTTAGATATTACCTAAACCAGGGACATTTTTCATCCGAGGAACTTGAGACTGAGAAAAGTTTAGTGCTTTTTGCAAAATCAGTTAGTGGTGGAGTTAGGAATTGAACCGAGACCTCCATGATCTGGTGTGGCATGATCTGATGCCCAAAGAGACAATGTACTACTTTCCTGGAAAAGTTGTTCCTGTGGGCAACAATTATAAAATTTGTGTTATGAGATCTATAGTATTCTTTTGCTTTGCTTTTTCTGGTCCTGAAAGAAACTTGGAAACAGGTTCAGTAGTACGCAGAGAGGCTCTTGAATTTCAAGAGGTGAAGGGATCCCATGTGGTGACAGCTTTTGGGAACTTCTCAGTGAGGATTGTAGTTACTGCCATTATGTCCAATCTTTAGATTTTTATCAGTTATGAAGTTGGCCATGTTCTGATTTTAGGCTCCTTCTAAGGGTTGCCCCCAAAATAGGTATTGTGAGCCTTTTTATTGGTGAGAAGTATAATCTCACGTTATCAAAATCTGACTTTATGTCCAATATTCCTGCTTTTCTACCAAATATATGTGACTCTTTGCCATGACTAGGAAAGGATATAGAAGATTGGAAGTCAGACCTGTGTTGAACAATCTACTAACTAAAGCCCTTTTTCAGATTTACTGATCTTCCATTTTCTGCTCCAGACATTTGTTCCATGAAATAACTGAGTAGAGATGATACTATTATGTTATCATATGAAAAGACATGTTTAAATCTTGTATTTAAGGGCTGGGGATTTGGCTCAGTGGTTCTGCTGTCTGCCTTGCAAGCGCAAGGATCCGAGTTTGATCCCCGATACCCCCCCACAAAATCTTATATTTTAAGCAGGAGATAAACTTACTCATTTAATTCTCTAGTTTTACAGTTGAAGTGCAGAGATAATGTGATTTGTTCATGTTTGCATACATAATTTCTTATTTTGAGCTAGAGTGTAGATCTAGCTCATTTAGAGCCTTTTTGAGTGAAGCATTCAACTATTAGGACATTTAAATAATGATTTTATTTTTACTTTTTTTTAAAACAGTATTTTGCTGTCTAGTTCAGACTGGCCATGAACTCACGATATGGCCCCAAGCTGTCATCAAACTTGTAATAATCCTCCTGCCTCAGCTTCCCATGAGTGCTGGCAAATAATTTTAAATCAGAGCTTTTTTGTTCCTTTTTTTAAAATTTAAATTTAAGAAAGATCTTTGAATAATTTGGCTGCAAAGAGTCAGACTTTCATCATTTGTATTCTACTCTATTAAAGCATTACTGATAGACTGTATAAATTTACAGCCTCTGAGACGAATTATCCTTGGACAGTTTTTATCCCTTGTTATGTATATCATATTCCAACTGGTCTTCATTTGGGAAATGATAGAACTTATTTGACAAATTGACACTTTTGTCATTTTAATTGGCTCAATAGGAAAGTTGAAGCCTGAGTTAAATTCAGGAGACACAGAAAAATGTAAGACTTAAAGAGGATATTGGGGAGTATTTTTTTTTCTTTCTTTCTCTATACTGGACCTTGTGTCCAAGTGGCAGTGTTATGTCTTTCTTTTACAGTGGTAGAGCTCAAGATAGAATTTAGATCTCCTCAACAACAATATTTAAAAATAATAATCTGTATATTGCCTTCTTTTTGAACATTGGTGTCTGGCTTGGTTTGGGGCACGCTTACAACTTGGTTTGAGCCAGGGAACATGGGGCAAATGAGCTGGGGAGACAGTGTTTTCTGTACAGCCAAAGAGCCCTTTCTTTGCCTGCCTAGACAGGTTGGGTTTGGTCTAAGACTATTTTGGGACCTCTGGCTATGAATCTACATGATGATTCTGGAGCCACTTCTGTGGGGTAGTCCTACACTGGAAAATTTATGTGGGCTGTGGGTGGGGACCTGGGGCATTTTTATTCTAACACTCAAGACTTTTTGAGGTACTTTGGACAGATTCTGCCAAGCCACTCAGCTGGAGAGCATTCATATGGAAACTAAAATTACAGGAAGATTGAAACTGTCTTTCTTTGTTGACTTGGTCTTTTTAGAGCATTTAATCAATTTTCAAACTCATTTCAAGACCTATGGGTTTTTTAAAAATAAAAGAATAGTGAATTTCAGATTACTGCACAAGTTTTTCTTTTCTTTCTTTTTGGTACTGGGGATTGAACTCAGGACCTTGAGCTTGCGAAGAAGGCATGGTGCCACTGAGTTAAATCCCTGGCCCTGTACAAATTTTTTTGTTATGAGATTTCTTAGTATGTCAAATGAGCTTTTAAAGGAAAGTGAAATTGTTTCATTTGAGTAATTCTGAAGAACCAAAACAGGAATCCTTTTCTTATGTGCAGTGTTGTCAGCTGTTAATGTTCATATTTATAAATAGGTCATCTTTGTTTGAAAAAACATACACAATTTTCCAACTCCAAACCCTTGTAGCCACTGTATTGCTACATTAAACAGAATTGTTCAAAATAAAACTGGAACCAAAATGATTATCTAGACCAAATGTCAACCCTTTCCTGCAAATTTTGTTAATAATAGTCATGTCTACCCTTTTGTGCCTCCGTGGTTTTACATTCTTATTTTAAAAATACTGTAGCCAGGCGTGTGGCCTGTAATTCTAGCACTTGGCAAGCTGAGGCAGGAGGGTCGTCATGAGTTTGAGGCCAGCCTAAATTACATAGTGAGACCCTATCTCAAAACAAACTGTAATAAAACATAAATATGGATTTTTATTTTTTAAATAATGAGGCTAATTTATAAATGGGATGAACATATGTCTCAGTTTGCCTGGTATAATCCATTATCATGCATGCTATCCTGACACAGTTAGTAATAGCTTTGCATTAATTCTCTAAATTTCTGTTTGGATAATAACTTATCTGGTTCCCAGTTGTTATGGCTTATGTTTGGATGTCCTCCCACAAAGCCTCACATGGTCATAGGAGGGGCTTTTTCAAAGGTGGCTGGATCTTGAGTGTGTGATCATGGAGATGTGATTACTAAATCAGTCCAGTGATTGATTTGGCACTGCCCTAATCCTGGTAGCCTAGATAGAGGATAATGGGGCAGAAACA